TCCCTCAGTCTTCTTATCGTCGACCCACTGCCCTTCCTACCTCAGCCTTCCTATCCTCGATCCACTGCCCTATCTCCCTCAGCCTTCCTATCCTCAACCCACTGTCCTATCTCCCCATACTTCCTACTCTCGACCCAGAACCCAATTAACTATCTTCGACCCACAGCCCTATCTCCCTCAGCCTTCCTATCCTCGACCCACAGCCCTACCTCCCTCAGCCATCTATCCTCGACCCACTGCCCTATCTCCTTCAGTCTTCCTATACTCGACCCACTTTCCTATCTTCCTCAGTCTCCCTATCCTCTACACATTGCCCCATCTCCCTCAGCCTCCTTATCATCGACCCACCGCCCTATCTCACTCAGCCTTCCTATTTTCGACCAACTGCTACGTCTCCCTCTGCCTTCTATCCTTGACCCACTGACCTATCTCTCTCAGCCTTCCTATCCTCGACCCACATTCCTATCTCTCTCAGCTTTTCTATCCTCGAACCACCGCCCTATCTCCCCCAGCCTTCCTATCCTCGACCCACAGCCCTGTCTCCCTCAGCCTTCCTATCGTCGACCCACCGCCCTATCTCCCTCAGCCTTCCTATCCTCGACCCACAGCACTATCTCCCTCAGCCTTCCTATCGTCGACCCACTGCCCTATTTCCTTCAGCCTTCCTATCCTCGACCCACTTTACTATCTTGCTCAGCCTCCCTATCCTCTACACACTGCCCCATCTCCCTCAGCCTTCTTATCCTCGACACACCGCCCTATCTCACTCAGCCTTCCTATTTTCGACCAACTGCTACGTCTCCCTCTGCCTTCCTATCTTCGACCCACTGACCTATCTCCCTCAGCCTTCCTATCCTTGAACCACCGCCCTATCTCACTCAGCCATCCTATCCTTGAACCATCGCCCTATCTCACTCAGCCTTCCTATCCTCGACCCACTTTTTTACTTCTCTCAGCCCACTTTTTTACCTCCCTCAACCTTTCTATCCTCTACCCATCGCCCAATCTCCTTTAGCCTTCCTATCCTCGACCCACTGCTCTACCTCCCTCAGTCTTCCTATCGTCGACCCACTGCCCTTCCTACCTCAGCCTTCCTATCCTAGACCCACTGCCCTATCTCCCTCAGCCTTCCTATCCTCGACCCACTGCCCTATCTCCCTCAGCCTCCCATCATCGACCCACCGCCCTATCTGCCTAAGCCTTCCTATCCTCGACCCACAGCCCTATCTCCCTCGACCCACTTTCTTATCTCGCTCATCCTCCCTATCCTCTACACACTGCCCCATCTCCCTCAGCCTTTTTATCCTCGATCCACCGCCCTATCTCACTCAGCCTTCCTATTTTCGACCAACTGCTACGTCTCCCTCTGCCTTCCTATCCTTGACCCACTAACCTATCTCCCTCAGCCTTCCTATTCTCGACCCACATTCCTACCTCTCTCAGCTTTTCTATCCTCGAACCACCGCCTTATCTCCCCCAGCCTTCCTATCCTCGACCCACAGCCCTGTCTCCCTCAGACTTCCTATCGTCGACCCACCGCCCTATCTCCCTCAGCCTTCCTATACTCGACCCACAGCACTATCTCCCTCAGCCTTCCGCTCGTCGACCCACTGCCCTATTTCCTTCAGCCTTCCTATCCTCGACCCACTTTACTATCTTGCTCAGCCTCCCTATCCTCTACACACTGCCCCATCTCCCTCAGCCTTCTTATCCTCGACCCACCGCCCTATCTCACTCAGCCTTCCTATTTTCGACCAACTGCTACGTCTCCCTCTGCCTTCCTATCTCCGACCCACTGACCTATCTCCCTTAGCCTTCCTATCCTTGAACCACCGCCCTATCTCACTCAGCCATCCTATCCTTGAACCATCGCCCTATCTCACTCAGCCTTCCTATCCTCGACCCACTTTTTTACTTCTCTCAGCCCACTTTTTTACCTCCCTCAACCTTTCTATCCTCTGCCCATCGCCTAATCTCCTTTAGCCTTCCTATCCTCGACCCACTGCTCTACCTCCCTCAGTCTTCCTATCGTCGACCCACTGCCCTTCCTACCTCAGCCTTCCTATCCTAGACCCACTGCCCTATCTCCCTCAGCCTTCCTATCCTCGACCTACTGCCCTATCTCCCTCAGCCTCCCATCATCGACCCACCGCCCTATCTGCCTAAGCCTTCCTATCCTCGACCCACAGCCCTATCTCCCTCGACCCACTTTCTTATCTCGCTCATCCTCCCTATCCTCTACACACTGCCCCATCTCCCTCAGCCTTTTTATCCTCGATCCACCGCCCTATCTCACTCAGCCTTCCTATTTTCGACCAACTGCTACGTCTCCCTCTGCCTTCCTATCCTTGACCCACTAACCTATCTCCCTCAGCCTTCCTATCCTCGACCCACTGCTCTATCTCATCCGCCATCCTATCCCTGCCCCACTTTCCTATCTTGCTCAGCCTCCCTATCTTCTACACACTGCCTCATCTCCCTCAGCCTTCTCATCCTCGACCCACCGCCCTATCTCACTCAGCCTTCCTATTTTCGACCAACTGCTACGTCTCCTTCTGCCTTCCTATCTTCGACCCACTGACCTATCTCCCTCAGCCTTCCTATCCCTGAACCACCGCCCTATCTCACTCAGCCATCCTATTCTTGAACCACCGCCCTATCTCACTCAGCCTTCCTATCCTCGACCCACTTTTTTACTTCTCTCAGCCCACTTTTCTACCTCCCTCAGGCTTTCTATCCTCTACCCACCGCCCAATCTCCTTTAGCCTTCCTATCCTCGACCCACTTCCCTACCTCCCTCAGTCTTCCTATCGTCGACCCACTACCCTTCCTACCTCAGCCTTCCTATCTTCGACCCACTGCACTATCTCCCTCTGCCTTCCTATCCTCAACCCACTGTCCTATCTCCCCATACTTCCTACTCTCGACCCAGAACCCAATTCACTATCTTCGAACCACTGACCTATCTCCCTCAGCCTTCCTATCCTCAAACCACCGCCCTATCTCACTCAGCCTTCCTATCCTCAACCCACTTTTTTACTTCCCTCAGCCCACTTTTCTACCTCCCTCAGCCTTCCTATCCTCGACCCACTGCCCTATCTCCCTCAGCCTTCCCATCCTCGACCCACCGCCCTATCTGCCTCAGCCTTTCTATCCTCGACCCACAGTCCTATCTCCCTCGACCCACTTTCCTATCTCGCTCATCCTCCCTATCCTTTACACACTGCCCCTTCTCCATCAGCCTTTTTATCCTCGACCCACCGCCCTATCTCACTCAGCCTTCCTATTTTTGACCAACTGTTACGTCTCCCTCTGCCTTCCTATCCTCGACCCACTGACCTATCTCCCTCAGCCTTCCTACCCTTGACCCACATTCCTACCTCTCTCAGCTTTTCTATCCTCGAACCACCACCTTATCTGCCTCAGCCGTCCCATCCTCGACCCACTTTTCTTCCTCCCTCAGCCTTTCTAACCTCGACCCACTGCTCTATCTCATCAGCCTTCATATCGTTGACCCATCGCGCTATCTCCCTCAGCCTTTCTATCCTCGACCCACCGCCCTATCTCCCTCGGACATCCTATCCTTGATCCACTTTCCTATCTCCCCCAGCCTTCCTATCCTCGACCCACTGCCCCACCTACTTCAGCCTTAATATCCTCGACCCACTGCCCCATCTCCCTCAGCCTTTCCATCTTTCTCAGCCTTCATATCATTGACCCACTGCCCTATCTCCCTCAGCCTTCCTATTCTCGATTCACTGTCCTATCTCCCTAAGCCTTTCTATCCTCGACCCACTGCCCTACCTCTCTCAGCCTTCTTATCCTCGACCCACTGCCCTATTACTCTCAGCCTTCCTATTCTCGACCCAATGCCCTACCTCCCCCAGTCTTCCTATCCTCGACCCACTGCCCTATCTCCCTCAGCCTTCCTGTCCTCGACCCACCGCCCTATCTCCCTCAGCCTTCCTATCCTCGACCCACAGCCCTATCTCCCTCAGCCTTCCATCCTCGACCCACAGCCCTATCTCCCTCAGCCTTCCTATGCTCAACCCTCTGTCCTATCTCCCCATACTTCCTACTCTCGACCCAGAACCCAATTCACTATCTTCGACCCACAGCCCTATATCCCTCAGCCTTCCTATCCTCGACCCACAGCCCTACCTCCCTCAGCCTTCCTATCCTCAACCCAATGTCCTATCTCCCCATACTTCCTAATCTCGACCCAGAACCCAATTCACTATCTTCGACCCACAGCCCTACCTCCCTCAGCCTTCCTATCCTCGACCCACAGCCCTATCTCCCTCAGCCTTCCTATCCTCGACCCACAGCCCTACCTCCCTCAGCCTTCCTATCCTAGACACACTGCCCTATCTCCCTCAGCCTTCCTATCCTCGACCCACCGCCCTATCTCCCTCAGCCTTCCTATCCTCGACCCACAGCCCTATCTCCCTCAGCCTTCCTATCCTCGACCCACTTTCCTATCTCGCTCAACCTCCCCATCCTCTACACATTGCCCCATCTCCCTCAGCCTTCTTATCCTCGACCCACCGCCCTATCTCACTCAGCCTTCCTATTTTTGACCAACTGCTACGTCTCCCTCTGCCTTCCTATCCTCGACCCACTGCCCCACCTCCCTCAGCCTTCCCATATTTCTCAGCCTTAATATCATTGACCCACTGGCCTATCTCCCTCAGCCTTCCTATCCTCGACCCAATGCCCTACCTCCCCCAGTCTTCCTATCCTCGACCCACTGCCCTATCTCCCTCAGCCTTCCTATTCTTGACCCACCGCCCTATCTCCCTCAGCTTTCCTATCCTCAACCCACAGCCCTTTCTCCCTCAGCTTTCTTATCCTCGACCCACAGCCCTACCTTCCTAAGCTTTCCTATCCTCGACCAACTGCCCTATTATTCTCCGTTCAAGGTTCTAACTTAACCTTAAATAGTTGGATAGTCTAACACTTCGACCAACATCATCAACACTTCAAACACTACCAGCAATATGTCATGCAGCAAAAATGACAAGGCTTCATCCAGCAACATCTCCAAGCCTAAGCAACCTTTAAGTAGGAGCCTTCCAGATCCAGGCCTCTCACCAATTGTTCCCACTGCTCAACTCCAAGAAGAACACTCAAATTTACAGATAAGACTTCAAGAAGCTATACAGAGGAACATTATGAACCAACTCCCATCTTTAATAGCAAATTGTCTAGCAGAAAATACCAGCTCTGCGAATTTTTCTTCTGAATACATACCCCTGAGTCCAGGCCTTAAGGAATGTATGGAATCTCAAATGACATCTCTAAAAGAAATAAAAAATGATATAGCTACTATCAAAGATTTTCAGAATTTCCAATCTGAAAAGTAGGACAAATTCTAGCCCATCAAAGATAACCGATGAAAAACTCACTCAATATGGCAAAAGAATAAGAGATCTGGAAGATTTAGTATACGATCTTGAGGAAGAATTGTTTTTCGTATCCGATAAATTGGAGGACCAAGAACGTCGTTCCAGATTGGATAATTTGGAATTCCATGGTATCGCCCCCCAAGAGAACGAGGACACTGACAATCTGATATTGGAACTGGGAAAAACGATCAATGTCGATATAAAACATTCCGACATATCTGTAACCCACCGCAGTCCAACGCATAACTCCAACATACATAAACCTATCATCGCTAAATTTACAAACCGGAAAATCAGAGCAAGAATCCTCAAAAATCGCCATCTTTTGAAAACCGCTGCAAATTCAAGAATAAGAAATATTTCCAGAGTTTTCATCGTTGAGAACCTGACAGATAAAAACAAGAACTTGTTTTATCAAGCAAAAGTTATGAAAAGACGATGTGGCTATGCCTTTTTATGGACATCAAATGGAAAGGTATTAATAAAGAAAAACAAAGACACAAACACTTTACCTATAACAGATGAGGATGACTTGGACAAAATAAGATAAGTTCCATCTCTTTTAATCCTACTACTAATAAATCATCCCTTATAGTGATATGACAGACTTAAAAAACGTCTTGACAAATTCATATAATGTGATCCTTGCCTATTTTTGTGTCTTATGTCAATATAACTAAACCCACCCCAGTGTGTGTAAACTCTACTTTTATCTCTCCAAGCAAATTATTATCTTGCAATTCTATAAGTCCTAGAGCTATCTGCCAAGCCTAACTTAAATTGGGAATCACTTAGTCCCCATCCCCACGTAACATCATTCCCTAGTCAATACCTCGAAATACAAGATATCGATAATGTGTCCTCTAGTTTTCTTCTCTCAGAGCTTATTGCAATACATTTCAATATTAGGTCCCTAGCAAAATATTACAATGATTTAGTTCATCTGATCTCTAATTTTCATATACTGCCACATATATATGCTCTGAGCGAGACCAGAATTAAAAGCAATACCGCTGTTCTCAATTTTGATATTCCGGGATACACTTTTCTCCATGTTCCCTCCATAACTCAAGCGGGTGGTGTGGGTTTTTATATCAGGAACAACATAAACTTTCAAGTTAATAATGAATTCAACCTATCGTTTCCGAATTGTGAGGACTTATGGATTGAGATCAACTATTCTCAACCAAATTCCAAAACCCAAAGCCTTATTATCGGAGCAATGTATAGGCACCCAAAAAACAACATTCCATTATTTACGGGAGCAATGGGTTACTTATTCGAAAAGCTGACAATGGCAAGAAAGCAATTCCTGATTCTAGGTGATTTTAATATTAACCTTTTTGATAGCCGTGACAATTCCACATCCAAGTATTTGGACTTGCTTGCGTCAAATTTTGTATTCCCAATTATTACACGACCGACAAGAGTCACCCTGTCCTCACAAACTCTAATAGACCATATTTATACTAGTAACATAAAATCTTGTTCATCATCATTTATTCTCCTTAGTGATCTTACCGATCACTTTCCAATAATGCGTACAATTTCAACTACTGGTATTAATATCAAGTCAAAAACTCGCTTAAAACGCGACATGAGAAAATTTTCTGAAAACTTATTTAGATTAGAGGCTGAGTCAATATGTAAAAATTATACCAGTCCCACTTTAGGTATAGATAATTTCAATAATTCGTTTGACCTCTTTCTCAGCCAATTAAAATGGCTGATTGATAAACATGCACCATTACGACCTCGTTCTCGAAGAGAAAATAAATTATATTCCAAACCTTGGTTTACCAAGGGAATTCGTAAGTCAATCAAACATAAAAACAGCATGTTCAAAATAAAGTTTTCGAAGGGCAATGCATCTCAGCGTCTTTAATTTACAAAATACAAAAATATTCTGTTACATTTACTGAGAAAATCCAAGCAACAGTATTACCATAATATCCTTGATAACAACAGAGGGGACGTTAAACGAACTTGGAGGACTATCAATGAGATTATCAAAGTTAAGTCCAGTGATAATTCCACCATCCAAGAATTGAAACTTGAAAATGGTCCAATTGTCAAAGACCCCGTGATAATGGCCTCAGAGTTCAATAAGTTCTTTTCCACTGTAGGCAAGAAACTTGCGGATTAAATCCCACATAGCTCTAAGTCACCCACTGACTTCTTAGGCGCTCCTTTACAAAATTCTTTTTTTCTAGAGCAAACGACACCTCCCGAAGTTCATCAAATAATCTTGAACCTGAAAAAAGGCAAAGCAGTTGGTCCAGATGGTATTCCAACCTATTTTCTTAAAATAATCGCTGATATTGTATCTCCAGCTCCAAGTCATTTCTTCAATTTATCATTTAGTTTAGGCATTTTCCCTTCCTCATTAAAAATAGCTAGGGTAATTCCAATTTTCAAAAATGGCAACAAAAATAACCTGTCCAATTATCGGCCAATTTCCATCCTCCCCACCATAGGCATTGTTCTAGAAAAAATAATAAAAGAAAGAATGCTGAATTATTGCTCTAAATTTAATCTTATCAACAAATGTCAATTTGGATTCCGAACGAGTCATTCTACCAGCCATGCTATTGTAGACCTAACCTCGTATAATTACGATAAAATTGATAAAGGTGAGCTTGTCTGTTGTACCTTCTTAGATCTAAAGAAAGCGTTTGACACCGTTGACCACAACATTCTTATCCAAAAGCTAAAGCATTACGGTCTTCGAGGTACAGCCGGTAATCTACTATGTGATTACCTGCTTGGTAGATATCAATTTGTGGAGGTGGATTCTCATAAGTCTCCAATGTTGCCCATTCACTGTGGAGTTGTTCAAGGTTCTGTGTTGGGTGCTCTTGAATTTTTATTATACATAAATGATTTATCAAACTCATCAAATCTTTTAAGCAAACTTTTCGCTGACGATGCTTGCCTCCTCAATAGCGCGAAGAATTTGATAACTCTTCAAACCAACGCAAACACTGAAATAAATAAAATACACAATTGGATGACATGCAACAAACTCACAATTAACATTGACAAATCTAAAGTAATGCTATTTAACCCGAAAGCGCGTTCTGGAAATGTAAATCTTACAATCAAAATTAAGGGTATACATTAGAAGTTGTCAGCTCATATAAATAACTTGGACTCTTTATTGACAATCAACTAAAATGGAATACTCATATCACTGAAATACATAAAAAATTATCACGATCAACCGGGATTCTGGGTAAACTGAGATTTTATGTTCAAGACTCGACCCTGCGGACCGTATATTTTTCTCTCTTCCAGTCCCACATTCAATACGCCATAGCTGCATGGGGCTCTGCAGCCCCTACAAATTTGCACAAATTGAAATTGTTACAAAACAGGGCTGTTAGAATCCTCTCTAGAGCACCTGTTCGTTTTAATTTAAATAAGATATATCTCAAAACTAATGTGCTTAAATTGTCTGACATCCACAAGCTTGAGGTTTCTAAAATCATGCATCAGTTCCAAAACAATCGATTACCGGCAGCCTTTGACAATTACTTTTTTACGGTTAGGTCTGTGCACGAACATCATACTCGCTCTTCCGCAAAGTCAAATTTTTTTGTACCCTGGTTTCTCTCAAGTAAATCCCAAAACTCCTTGAAATACAAAGGAGTAGTAACTTGGAATAGCATTCCTCAAACCTTGCGTGATACAACATACAATATGTTCAAAGCTAAATACAAAAAATTCTTGATCTCCACTTACCAATCCGGTGCCGCCACATCTTCCGGTTGATATCATGTCTGAGTCTTGTTTTCTTACTATTGTCAGCTCTACATTTGACCACACTTCAAGCTGTTGGGTCTTTAATACCTGGAATGATAATTATTCGTATCTTCTTTTTGTGATTTGCTCAAATTCCATTCAATATCTTCCCTATCTGGGACCAGTGGCATGTACTTGGATATAACAGTATCTTAAGCGTATCACCCTAATCTTACTGTGTGCAGTAAGCTCATTTATGCCACGCAATCAATCAATTCCCGGTCTTAAAAGCACCTGAGTTCTACATGGAGCTGGGTCAATAACTCAGACTTCAGTCTCCACCATTTTAGTCCATTACATGCTATATGATAATAAATGTTAAATTTTTCTTATATTTTTTTGCAACTATTGTCATTATGAATTGTATCACCTCTACACTAGTAGTCTACTTACCAATTGTTGTTACACATTTCAATCTTCTGCTCATTGTGGACATGTTATTTGCTACAGTTTCATGTCCTACATAAATTAGATATAAAAAGTACTGTAGTATTTATTGTTACCTGTTATTTATTGTCCAATCCATTGAATAGAATCTTTAATTTCCTACTGCAATACCGACATCCTTTCGGCTATCAGGTTTGACGTTAACTGTACACTCGCCCGCAGCCAGTGCTTCAGCTGAGCAGTTGCCATGGTTACCTTGATGGTGCTTGGAGTCTATTTTATATTAACGAGAGACTCTGGATTTCTGGAAAATCCGCTGAATACTTGAACGTTTCCAATATACAATTTTATTTAGTCTGATTATTTTGCTTTTTCATTCATATTCATTTTAAGCTTTCTATTTCATGTTATTTCGTCATGCTGTGTTAGACCCCATCTAGGGTGTCGCTGCTCGATAACCAGTACTGGTTTTTCAGCTATTCCCTCCACCCTGAAATGCTATTCTTCTTTTATTTTATTCTGTATATGTAGCTTGCGTATTTTCAAATGGTGGAAAAAATAAATTACTGATACTGATACTATCTCTCTCAGCCTTCCTATCATAGACCCACTTTCCTATCTCCATCAGCCTTCCTATCCTCGACCCACAGCACTATCTCCCTCAGCCTTCCTATCGTCGACCCACTGCCCTATCTCCTTCAGCCTTCCTATCCTCGACCCACTTTCCTATCTTGCTCTGCCTCCCTATCCTCTACACACTGCCCCATCTCCCTCAGCCTTCTTATCTTCGACCCACCGCCCTATCTCACTCAGCCTTCCTATTTTCGACCAACTGCTACGTCTACCTCTGCCTTCCTATCTTCGACCCACTGACCTATCTCCCTCAGCCTTCCTATCCTTGAACCACCGCCCTATCTCACTCAGCCTTCCTATCCTCGACCCACTTTTTTACTTCTCTCAGCCCACTTTTCTACCTCCCTCAGCCTTTCTATCCTCTACCCACCGCCCAATCTCCTTTAGCCTTCCTATCCTCGACCCACTGCCCTACCTCCCTCAGTCTTCCTATCGTCGACCAACTGCCCTTCCTACCTCAGCCTTCCTATCCTTGACCCACTGCCCTATCTCCCTCAGCCTTCCTATTCTTAACCCACTTTCCTATCTCTTCATACTTCCTACTCTCGACCCAGAACCCAATTCACTATCTTCGACCAACAGCCTTATCTTCCTCAGCCTTCCTATCCTCGACCCACAGCCCTACCTCCCTCAGCCTTCCTATCATCGACCCACTGCCCTATCTCCTTTAGCCTTCCTATCCTCGACCCACTTTCCTATCTTGCTCAGCCTCCCTATCCTCTACAC